TACCACACGTCCTACCTCCGGTCCGTCGGTCGTCGGTCGTTCGTACTACACTTAAGTAGTATATATATATATATATATATATATATATATATATATATATCTAGCAGAGCTGAATGTGAGCAGTACCAAACATGAGTGGGTGGGAGAAAGAGAGAGAGAGATAGATGGGTGAATGAGAACCGCATAGATGCCACAAATATGAGATACAAAGCGTTGTTTGTCAATAGGATTAAAATCAGTGCACCGTAATAATAGTAATAATGGTATGCACACAACATGCATTTAAGCGTCGTCATTTAAGGTAGGCAGGCCCTCCCGTGCCCATAAATAAACCTCGCGTTCTCCTCAGTATAAACATGGGTCTCTTTCAATAACCTGCCATTCAAAGAGAGTACCTCACAAAAATTAGCACATAATCTAGGATTCTATGGCACTTTATAGCTTAGAGAGGGAGAGAGAGAGAAAGCAGTGTTCGGACAATTCCGAACCGCCCGGTTCCAAGTAACCAGTAAACCGGTCGATTCAATCTGCCTAACCGGACAAATCTTGGCCAGTCAAAAACGCGTTAAAAAAAAAAAAGAGAGAGGGAGAGGGAGATGTACGATTGATAGACGCTTTTGTTCATGGTGGTTGACGAGATGAAGGACTCCCCATCCAAGTAAAGCAACTCCCCCTTTATTCTCTCTCCAATCCCTATGTCCATTTTCTCTGCATCAAGCTCAAATGGCTCGTCCGAAGCCTACCCACAAGTGAAAAAAACTGAACATTATTTCCTTCCTCATATATCTCTTTTACCCCTGACTCCATACATTTCTCATGCTTTTGGCATTCTATGATGGATGGTAGAGATTAAACTGGGCTCTTCAAGAAAAGTAGTCATTTAGATAAATCAGCATCCATCTTCAAGAATGGACGTGGATAAAAATCTAAGTTCTTCTATCACCATACACTACAGATGTATATGGCACACATTGTTTTTAGGGCTTGCAATGGGACGACGGGCTGGCCCAGTCCAAAAAACCAAGCCCTGAGCCACAAAATGTGTCTCTAATGCAGACTATATAATGTGGCCCGAGAGCTGGCCAGGGCAAGACTAGGCTTGACATGGGCCAAGCCCACAAGGCTGGTACAGCCTGGCCTGCCAGGGTTTGCCTTTTCTTTTCATTGCATTTTCTTACTTGAGTCTATTTGCCCTAGACCAATCTGGGCTAGGGCCCGGGTTCCTTTGAACTTAAACAGGCAAGGGTAGGGCCCGGGGCCGGGCCAATCTAGCTTTGGCCAACCCTACATTTTCTCGAAAATAACACGGCTTCCAATATATCTTACCATAACCCAACCCCATGTATCTGCGAAAGACGGCACATGCGCAGTGTATGCCTTGACATCTGCACACGTGAGAATCACAACGTCAAAGCTCCGTTAATGACTGGTTGTATTTTTTACAAGTATTAAATCGTTGAAGATAGTATCAAATCTATATCATCTAATTAAATGAACAATATCTATTACTATAATCTTGCTTCAACAACTAAGGAAGAAACTTTATAAATAATAAGAATAAGTTGCACATAAACATCAAACACGAGAGATGCTCACATTTAAACACATTCTTAAGGGTGTTGTATATGGAAGAAAAGACCTCCTTGTGGGTGAGAACACCTGCGGGTCCAGCCTTAAAAAAAGTACAATGAATGTAAGCAAATAGAATGAGATGGAACAAAAAAATGTCGATTTGTAAGAAATAGAGCAATTTATGTACAGACCTTAAAATTTTAGGGAAAATATGAATGGCTTCAATTATATGTAAAAATTACAAAGAAGGTCGGTCCATCGGCCTTTTTTATTTTTTTAAAAAATTGCCTTTAGGTCAACCCAAATTTTGATTTTTTTTTTCTTAGAGTTTTTTCATTAGTAGGAGAGTACCTTAAAGTTTGGGGCACTGCCGTACTAACAAAAATGCAAAAAAATAAAAATAAAAATAAAAATAAATATATATATATATCGGAGGACCGAGGACGAATTTAGGAAAAAATAAAAAAATACCAGTTGATCAACCTTCTCTATAGTTTACTCCTATAAGCAAAGCATTTTGAATTTTAGCTAAAATTTTAGGGTCTGTGCGTAAACCACTTTACGCAATAACATCGAAGTTAGATTGAACTAAATTTAAAGATAATAAGAAAATACAACTTTTTTATTTTTTGGTAATAGGGGCTATGTCAAAATATTTCTAACAAGGTTATTTCAAAGAACAAAACAAAAAATCAAACACACAACATTTTCAAAGATTTAGGAATGAAGATCATTATGTGAATGAAATGTATTATAAAAACAAGAAAAACTAACGAAATCAAGTAAAATACCTCATATTTGTTTAGTTATTGTAAGAATAAAATAATATAAAAAGAAAGAAAATAAAATGCAAAAAAAAAAAAAAAAGGCAAAAAGAAAAACCAGAGTTTGTGTGTTTTAACAATGCATTTACTATAAAGTCCATAAAATGTGAAGTGCTTACTTGAGTGACGAAAATACCCTTGTGGTTAAGCTTGGGCTTGAGAATATTTTGGTAGAAGCATTGGGTGTAGAGAAGGTAGCAAGGCCCTCCCTCAACCGGATCAGCCAAGTCCCCTACAATCACGTCAAACTTTTCCTGTGTCTTCTCCAGCTCAGCCCTACAAACCACACTTGCATTACACTTTGAGAGGGAGAGATTGATTACATTTAGAGAGAGAATTTCATACTATTGTTGTGAAACTCGGCCAAATAAATCGGGGCCTGCGAGATTTGGGCATGTAGGTTGTACAACATGTTAGTAAACTTTGTTTATATTAAGGAAAAAAATTTATATAAGGATGCTACTTTATAATGTTGAACTACGGATGCCTTTAAAAAATCCATCAGAAAAGACAGTTTTAATGTTGAAAAACTCTTTGATTGATCATCTCGACATCAAGCAAGATGTATGACTATGAAAAATAAAAAGATTTTAAGTCTAAAAAATAGTACATTTTATAACATATTATCTACACCATCCATTTTCAAAATTTTCATATGTTTATAGGTATAATTGATTTGAACCATTTTTGAAATTTAAAATTTTATAATTAGAT